CTCTTATTTTATATTTGAGTTTGCTGTTCCTTGAAATTTTAATCTCTTGGGGTTGTTCTGTTTGGGGGTGTGTCTTCTGTAGGTAACCTGTCGTTTGGCTCCCATTTTTAACCTTAATCTGAGTGTTTGTTTATGGGAGGAATTTAAACCAGTAATAATTATTGTCATTCTGACCCATAGGTCTTCTTCCTTCCCCAAACCCATAACCCCTGCCCAATCTGGAGAAAAACATCCATGGATCCCACTTGAGGGACATTCTGCAAAATACCTGCCAGTATCTCGCTAACGGTCACGGTCATCAACAAGATGGGAAGTTTGAGAGACTGTCATAGGCTAGAGACACCTAAGGAGAAGTGGTGACTACACATAAGATGGCATCGTGCATAAGACTCTGGGACAGAAAAAGGACACTAGGTTGAAACTAAGGATCTGAATGAAGTGCATACTTTGGTTTTTGTTTTTTTTTTTTTAATCCCACAAAGAAAACTCTAGAACCATACAACTTTGCTGGATAATTCTACTAAAAATTTAAGGAAAAAAAATAATGGCAGTTGTACAAAAAAAAAAAAAATCTTGCAGAAAATAAATGAAGAAACACTTCCCATATTTAAAAATTCTTTAACTCTAAAATAATCATAAACCTAAATATAAGAAAACATAAGAGGTAAAACTATAAGAAGACAGAGGAGAAGAAAGGCTCTTTTTTGAGCTGCGGTCTTCCCATGTAACCCAGGCTGGCCTTGAACTCCTGGGCTCAAGTGATCCTCTTGCCTCAGCCTCCTGAGTCGGAGTGTGGGTGGACCTTGCCTGCCTGACAGAAAACATCTCAGTGAACTTGAGTGAGGAAGATATTTCTTGAAGATGAATATCATAAACACCAAACAAAAAATATTATAAGTTGGATTTCCTTAAAATTACCTTTTTTTTTCCTCTTAAAGGCATTGTTAACAAAATGGGTCAAGCACAGACTGAGAGAAAATATTTGTAAAATATTCAAAGAACTTGTACATATAATATGTAGAGAACTCTTCCAATCCTCTTGTAGAATGACAAAACAAAAAAATTAAATAAAAAGTTGCTAAATATTTCCACAGACACTTCCCCAACACATGTGAGTATAAACAGGACTCTTCACCAAACGCACGTGTATATAAAACTCAAAGTCATGAGTCATTAGGGAAATGACAATTAATACCACAGTGAGATGCTACCGTACTCACTGAATGACTAAAAGTAAGAAGACTGAAAATACTAGGTATTAAACAAAGATTGAGCAGTTGGGAACTCTAATGCACTGTTGGTGGAGTGCAAGATGGTCTGGCCACTTTGGAAAACTGGAGGTTCTTATAAAGTTAAACCTACTCTTATTATATGACCCCTCAACTCCTAGGGATCTACCCAAGAGGAAAGAAAATATTTCTTCCTACATAGACCTGTACACAGTGTGCACAGCAGCTTTATGGATAACAGCTAAAAGCTGAAACAAATGTCCATCAACTGGTGCATGGATGAAAACACTCTGATATATCTGATGTAGAATACTTACTACTCAACTGTAAAAAATGGAACCATCCACAACGATAGTCACACGAATGAATCTCAAAACACTAAGCTAAATGAAAGAAGTCAGACGCGCACACACAAAAACCTATGTACTGTATGAGTCTATGTATACTGCATTCTGGGAGAGGAGAAACTTCAGTGACAGTGGGGCTGGAGTCCTTGAGGGTTAGTGTCCAGTCCAGCACCGGACACTGGTCTCCATTCAGTGAATGCTGGCAAATGCTTTACAACCTGCTTCCTGCAAGTAGGAAAGAACCCTGATTTGTAGCATTTGTTGTTGTCTGTGGTGTAAAAGCTCCCAGGATGGCCAATTTCAAGTTACCAACATAGCACTCCTAGCTCAGAGAGTTCCTGAAAATTTAGTAATTCACTTCCTCGAGCTGCTACAGGCTGACTCCGACAGGTCTCTTCTGGCGGGTAAGGTGTTCAGCCATGGCAGTAGAGGGGAGAGGTAAGTCCATGCTATTGAACCCATATGCAGCCTCCATCTGGGACACTTTGGCTACTCGGTCCACGCATAGCCTGTGTCAGTACTGGTGTGACTGATGTCGTAGACAAGCTGATAACAACAGGACACCTCAGACAAAGGACACACATTTATTTCTCACAGTTCTGGAAGCCCGGGAGTCCACTGTCAAGGTGGTCGCAGTTCCAGTCATCTGCTGAAGGCTGTCCTCTGTTTCCAAGATGGCGCCTTGCTTCCTCTTCACATGGTGGAAGGCGGAAAGGGCAACGAGCCCAAAGCTGTGTGGAGCCTCTTCAATCCCATTTGTGAGGGGGGAGCCCTCATGGCCACCAACAGCTCTTGAAGACCCTGCCTCTTAATACTACCATGCTGGCTACCAAGTTTCAGCGCTGGAGTTTTGCAGGGGATACACTAAACCTTAACAGAAGGGTCTCTCTAGCACTGGACTGGAAATAGAAGGGTGAGGCTCTTATCGTAATGATGTTATCTAATGCTGTGAGACTATGCAATCGCCCAGAGACTAAAGGTAGATTAAATAAGAGAAAGAGATCCTGGGGCGGAGCCACAGGGCCTTCTACTTTAAAGAAAAGAACCTGCAAGGATAGGGATCTTTGTCCTTCACTGATATTTCCCAAAATCCTAGAGCACAATAAATATTTGCTGATTAAATAAGATAAAGTTCAGAAGTAAAAGTCCAAGATGAAAAAGGAATTCAAAAATCATGTCACATACCCAGGAGGAAGTATGTGCTACAGATGGCACATATCCCCTGAAAATTTGTAGGTTGAAGCCCTTGAAGTATTTGGAAATAAGGCTTTGGGTGGCATTTAGGTCATGAAGGTGAGGTCCTGGTTTGATGAAATTAGGAGCCTCTTAGGAAAAGACACCAGAGAGCTTGAACCCCATTCCCCTGTGTGCATGGGAAGGCCATTTGGGCACAGCGAGAAGGCAGTCCCCTGTGCAAGTCAGGAAGAGAGTCCTCACCAGAACCTGACTATGTTGGCACCCTGACCCAAGATCCCCAGTCTCCAAAATTGAGAAAGTAAATATCTATTGCTGAAGCCACCCAATTGACGGTACTTGGGTGTGACAGCCTGAGTTGACCCTGTTTATCTATCCTGAAAAACACACTCCTCTTCCTGCAAAGAGGAAGAGAACATCATCAGCTACCAAGAGCATTCAACTGCAATTCCAGCCTGGGTCCTGTACAAAATCATACCCAAAGAGCAAGACCTCAGCAAACACAGGACCTGAGGACCAGCCTGGCCGGCCGTGGGAGGCGGGTTGTGTCATTTCAGTAGGGCACTCCTTCCATTTCTGCCCTCAACTTCACCACGGTCGACGGAGGTGGTGGGACTCTATAAATTTGTGAATAGGTGCTATGGGTTTTAAATGCAGAAGAAACTCACGAATTCCTGTTACTTTGAAAACTTCAACCATAGCAGAAATATGTAAAGTACAATGTGAACACCCCCCCTTGCCAATTTCTCCTTGAAGTTAAACAGTGTCCTCCCAGACCTATTACTGTGATGGTCCTGCTCCAGTGTTGACTCCTTCAGGCAGATTTCTGCTGTGATTTGGATATGGTTCAAGTGGGACCCACAGTTTCCGGTTCTGGAAACTCCGTGGCCATGTTGGGAGGTGGTGGAACCTTTAGAGGCGGGGCCTAGCGGGAGGCAGCTAGTTCATTGGGGGTGCTGCCCTTGGAAGGGATGAGTGTGGTTCTCACAGGGCCTTGGTGAGTTCCCACAAGATTGTATCATAGAACCACATACCGCTACAGCCTTGTTGGAAAGCAGTGTGGAGATTCCTCAAAAGACGAGGAATGGAGCCACCATAGGACCCAGCTATCCCACTCCTTGGTATTTATCCCACAGAACTAAAATCAGCACCCTGCAGCAATCCATGCATTTCAACTTCTGTAGCTGAGTAATTCACAACAACCAACTTATGGAACCAGCCGAGGTGTCTGTTAACAAATGAATGAATTAAAGAAAATGTGAATATATACACAAGGACGTTTGGGGCCCTAAAGAAGAAGGAGTTTATTCCATTTGCTGATAAATAGATAGAACTAGAAATCATGCTAAATGAAATAAGACAGATTCAGAAAGTCAAGGGTCAATGTCTTCTCTCATGTGTGGAAACTCCAAAGAGGGAGATAGGGAATAATAATAACAACAACAACAACAACAAAGGATATTATGAAATGGAAGGATATTTGAAATGGAAGGCCAATAGAGTAGAAGAAGGGGATGAGACAGAGGGAGGAGAGAAAGGCATGGGGCTACGCAGGTAACGATGTATCCAGAAGACCAGAGGCTGAAGCAAGGTGTTGCCTGACCTTGTATTTCAGTCTTCAAAACTGTGAACTAAACAAACCTCTTTTCTTTATAAAATGCCTTGGCTCAGGTATTTGGTTATACTTTTGGAAAATGGGCTAATATGCTTTCCCACATGATGGATCCCTGCTCAGAATTCATCTTTCCCTCTGTTTTTGCACCTGGCACCTTTTATGGGATGATAAAATCTAAGGAGACTGAAGGCAAAGAGAGACAGCTCCTTCCTGGGCAGGTCATGGAGGCAAGGGTTCAGGTTATCCCATACTCCAAAGTGGAAAATTCTAAAGAGTTGTTGGTGGAACCGTCTTGTCCAGCATTCAGCTGACAAAGAGCAAGAGTCACTGGAATGCTCCAACTAGTTGGAAAAGAGTCAAAGTGTCTATCTCATAGGACAAATTTTAAATGTGTTTGGTCATTTTTTTTTTTAAATCAGAGTGTGGCATGCAGATAGTGAAGGGCCCATCTTACATGTAGGCCTTGATGAATTTTTAGGCTCATGTGACATACGAACATACACACAGTCCCCTGTGCAACCATCACCTCAAAAAACAACATTTCAACGCCTTGGAGCTTCCCCGGGCCCCTTTCCAAGCCACACACTCCACCCCACGGTAGCCGCCATTCTGATTTGTCTTGCTGTCTATGCCCATTCTTGAACTTCAACTAAATGGATTCACAAAACAAGTTATGATTTTTTAATACCTTTATTTTATTTATTCGTTTTTAGGTGGTGCTGAGGGTCTGCCTCCTTTGTCTCATCTTATGTCTGTGGGATTCCTTCAAGTTGCTGCATGTAGAAGTCGATCGTTCTGTTTTATTGCTGAGTAGTATCCCATTACGTGACCATATCCCGACATGATCTTTTCTGCTGTGGATGGACCTCTGCTGTGCTTCCCGTTTGGGACCACTATGAAAAAGCCTGCTCTGATCATTCTCGCCCATATTTTGGGGGTATGTGCACTTGATTCTCTTGCGGAATACCTAGCTGGGAGTGGAGTCGCTGGTTTATAATTTGTTTCTTATGGAAACATTTGAAGGGATTTGCAGGGGTTTTTTTGTTTTGTTTCTGGCCTGGCCATGAGAGCTGAGGCCGCTGAAGGAGCAGTGGAATATGTGTAGAACGGTGAGAAGGACAAACAGTCCATTGGGCAGGAACATCCCTCCCTGGAAGGGGCAGCAGCCAGAGGCTGGCCTGAAGAGCCACAGACTGTGGGAAGGTGGTTCTGCCTAATCCCTGCTCTGGACAGGGCATTTCAAGGTTGGTGTGTCAGTAACCTGTTGACCCGTGCCTTGTGCCTGGTGAGTTAGGGGGAGTATGTCACATCCCTGGAGCAGCGGATGGGCTCAGTCGGCTCCGGCCAGGGCCTACCTGGAGGACTTTGAGTTTTGGGGAATTAGCCCTGATCAGCAGGAATTCAGGAGCGAATCAACAACCCCCTGTCACAGCAGGACCAGCGTGTCTTCTGAGCTCAGCTTGTGGCTCCACCAGGGCCAGCAAATCAGATTCCGAAGGCAGAGGGGACAGAAATCCCCAAGTGATCAGCTGGACACGGCTCTCTCTTAGTGTCCTGCCATGCTGGAGGCCACATGTGAAACCAGATGTCACCGGAGGCAGACTGCAGCTGAAAAGGCCATTGGGTTTACCCCATCGCTCCCGTGGCATCAATCATAGTCCTTTTCCTCAGACAAGAGCAGCAGGAGAAAGTGGAAAGCCCCTGTCACAACGATCCACACCAGCTGTGCAGATTCCCTCCCCCCACTGTGTGCTCATTGCTAAAACAGGGCCCACTGACCTGTGCTTATGTCCCGCACTTAAAAAATCACGTAATAGCTCACTGGAGAGAGTAAATACACGAAAGACGGCATTATACCTGAGAGGTCACTTACGGTCACAATGAGGGAATGACCAATAAAGTGGCCTTGGACATGAGGGCTGCCCAGCCAGGACGGGTCCCTTCCTTGGGCCTCATTGCTGCCCCCTTCCCAGGCAGAGAACAGATGGCAGGGACACAGGGGTGACCCCCGTGGTGGAGAATAAGCACAGAAACCTTGCCCCGTGCAGGGCACTGAGGCAGTGGGTGAGCCGTGCCCGACTGGGGAAGGAAGAGTTTCTCTGGGGGCTCAACAGTGGCAGAGGTCTCAGTCCACAGAAGGCCAGCACCATTCCTTGGGGCTGAAGGTAAGGCAGAGCATCATGGTGGCAGGGTGTGGTGGAGGGAAGCGGCTCCGAACATGGCCACCCAGAAGCAGAGGCAAGCTCCCAGGGACCCACGTCCTTCAGCCACACCCTCCCTGCCTGCAGACACCCCGAGTTAACCGGCCACGGGGGAGCATGCACCAGGTAGGTTAGGCCCCTTCTAACCCC